AGCTGATATGATGTATTGTGGCTACTAGCTATGTTTGATAAAACCACTTTTATCACCCGTATTCAGAGACATGGTCTAAAATAATTGCTTTAGTATTATTACCTTGCTATCTAGAAGCTTGATCACGAAGCAGATGTGAACATTTTGGCTTCTATTTCCTGTGAAATTGGTCAACTCTCTCTGAAAAGGCGCCTAGACTATCTTGAAGACAGAACTAGGCATAGTACTTGGGAGGGACATGCGTCATCGACATTGGCGAGGGTCTGGAGAATTACCAGCATGTCCTACAGGCCATGCAGTGGCTTTTTAACCAGATGCTTGATAGTACATCTGGCTATTTCAACTTCATGTTAGGTTAAGAAAGTAAGGGTGCTGAAACACTTTCTTCTCACATTTTTAAACTGTGTGGTTGATGACATGTTGATCGCCAATAAACCCTTCCTATTTTACACGCCAATTTGCCTTCGAAATGGTGATTCAGTGGCGTGTTGAGAGTCCTTTGACTGAAAACAAAGGGAACTCTTCAATGAAAAGGCTACACCTTTCCACCATAATTAGTATGAACAGTGGTAATGACTCCTAAACTCAGCACCAACTGCCGCCACTCAGGGATAACATTACCAAAACTTGCCCTATAAGGTGGAAGTGCATGATGGAGCTTTTTAAGACGTTTGGCCATCTTCCCTCTCAATGCGGCAATAACTCCAAAAGAGAACATCGCACCGTGGATACTTAAGTACCTCTGTCTATATTTCCATTAATATTCATTGGGTTTTGTTGGCATCTTTCACCCAGGCGGCGAACGGGCGGCGGGTACACGAGCAAGTGCGCTCCTCACAGCTCATTCAGGCGGCGGTTCAGGATCTGGTGGTGCTCTTTCCGCCCATCAGTAAATGTCACCTAACAGTTGGTGCGGCGCTCACTTCCCTCATGGCCAATTCTCAGAAGCTGCGTCTCCACTGCGAGGCTTCCGCCGTAGCTGCGGGTACCGAGTCTCCTGGTAGCGCCGCCAGCGGTACTAATAGCAGTCAACTAATCACCTTTGCGCATGAGATCGCCAGTGCCGCCAAAACCATTCTCAACTTTTTCCAAGCAGAACGCCACTGAATGACCATACACGCACACGCAAACACTCAGAAACACTCTCTCGCCCTGTACATACTCGATCGCCGATTTTAATGTCCTTCCTGTCTTTTCCTGCATGTGTATATCAGTGCGTTAAATGTCATCCTCCTCTATTCCCCATTAACCTATTTCATTTACTAGCCAATCTTATTGTTGACTTTTCCCCATCCCTTCCCCCTCTTAATCCTCGTTCTTAGCTTCAAATTAGATGCCACCTATCTCTTGGTCCAAATGCATATACAGACGGACTTGCCTCTTACCTGAAATAAACGGACGCTAGAATTGTATGTTTCCCATTGAGTGATTTCTGCTGCAGGATGGAGTTGTGGAACGCTCAAGCCAGGGATTTGTCTCTGAGCCAGCCTTGACCGATTTTGTAAAGTAATGATGGGAATGTTACTCTCCGAGTCAAATTGCCATTGTAGTACCTGTGAAATACTGTGCCTAACATTATTGCAGTAGTGCTCCGACTCTTAGGATCTTCTATCTCTACAGTAATGGAACAATGGAAGTTCTAGGACAAAAAAGTCCAGACATCTGGACGTCTGTCCCGTATTGCGTCACGACTTGGATGTTCAATACGAAGTTGGTGCAACCAAAATATGCCAGGGTCAGCCTCAGTTGAAATCTTAAGCCAAAAAAACAATAAGACGGATTAGCGGCGAATAAATGTATTCTCTGTGGTTGAAAGCATGACCCCGATTAGTGGGTAGACAGTCAAAATCAGTTCTTAAAATGGAAAATCCTACAAGAAAGGCTACTCTGCCTTTTTGTCCTCCTCTAACAGTTCCTGATACATCTCTAAGACACTGGGGTATACCAAATCTGGCGATTGGAGAGGAGCCTTGGCCGGATCTGCACGGGCTGCTGTCAACACTGCTTCCGAGGTCACTCCACTCATCACGCACACAGTATACAGACCTGACACTCTACCCAAATGGATGTCGGTGTCCAGCCTAAGTTAGCAAAAAGTATAAAAAAAGTACTTTAACTTTCTGAAATCGATGGCTTAAAGGGACAGAAAGTTCACAACCGCAAATGATATTGACTTCACCATGTGATTTTGGGGTTCAATGGTTCAACCCCAATGGTTCTGCATTTAACAACTTTTAGTCAGCGTTTAATGCTTGATTTATGATGCAACTATGCAAAAATCCCTACAACTAAAATAATTGCAAACAATCATCGAGATTGAGGTTGCCACTTCGTAAATTTATGAGGGTAAAATTAAACAAGTTGCAACTGGATCATAGGATCATTCTGCATCTATTTGCAAAGTATGCCAATTGAGAATGGACAAAATCAAAGAAGTTCAAAGACAATGATGGGTAAATAGTGGCACTAACCTGTCTCCAACAATCAATGTTGTCTTCTCTTCGGCTCCATACTTGCTCTTGATGAACTCCCATACTGTCTTTGAGGGTTTACCAAAAACTATTGGTTCCGCACCGGACGCCTTTCGGACAGAAGCAACTATGGAGCCCGTCCCTAAGATCCAAAAATTTTATAAGTACTTGTTCATCTCGGACGAAAGAGGAATCAGTGGCTAAAAGGAGTTCAAAAAAAAGGAAGCTCACCAGGCATTCGATAGTCAGAGCATGGCAAGAGCGCGTCTTCATTTGTAACGTAAAATGGGACACCTTGCGCGAGATAACTTGCTGCTTTCATAAGTTTCATGTAGTTAAAATGGGAATCGAACCCGACAATTACTCCCGAAATCTGCAAAAAAAGAATTTAAAGGTTTGTCGCCATTACATTTGCCCGCAGATGTGTGGCGTCGAATTCATTAAGGGGTGTGTTGTCCGGCTATGCAAAAGAAACATTATAATTGCAAATAAACTCATACTCCGATCCCAAAATGCTCGATCCCCACTTTATCCAACTCTTCGCCAAGTCCAGACTGTCCAATAACGTAGAATGGACCCTTGAGACCATCTTTGGCCAAGGAGGTGGCAGTAACATTGGCGGAACATATAATCTCTGACTGGATTGATGCAGGTTATAAATGTCAACGAACCGGTTCGAGTGGGAGCCCTAATTTATTGCACTTTTCCAAATATTTTTCGACCGACTTAGTGCTATTATTCGTTACAAGAAAGACATTCCGGCCGGTTTGTTTTAAATATCGGAGAAAATCAGCGGCGCCATCAAGCACACCAGCCGGATCCCAAAGAGTACCTAAGAATGGTTTGAGGTAATGTTGGCGAACCGTCAGCATCAAATAGAAACGTTTTATAGGCTCTGAGCATTGAAAGGCGGGCCAACCTATCTAAAATAGCCAGAGGACCGTTACACAGGCTCCTCAAATTCATCCCCTTCTCTCCGGTGCATATAAACAAAACAAAATTAGTACTTCAAAAAAAGAATTTCAGATTTAAAGGTGAGGAATAAAAGACGTAAAAGCAAAACATTTTCGATTTAAGGCTTAGTCTCTGGTGCTGGGTGGAGCCATAAGCTTTAAAATTTTCTTCTCAATACTGAATGAGATACAACTGGCTAAATACTTGCAGTCAGGCAGAAAATGGAAATTTTGGTCCCGTAGCACTCTGAGACTCCCAATCGGTAAAAAGGTGCATTAATCAGGGTCGAGTACATGCATGGAAGGCGAATAGAGGGTACGCGGGCAAGAGCAGGATGAATAACAAAGCTCACCAGTTTTGGATTAGTCAAATGGACGAAGACATTGTAATCTTTTGTGTATGTGGCCGCCCAACGTTCGGTAGTCACTCTAGGACTTGTCTGGCCCTTGTATTCGTGGGCTGATCTTCGAGCCATGTGCAGGCCCATTTGCTCTGTTCTCTTTGGAATACATGTGCTCAGCCTCACTTACTGCCTTTTCCCATTCTAAGGGAAGTCTCGGGATGCTACAGACACTACATCGCTCTCCCTTCCTTCAATCAATGTCCCTGGTGCTTTCCTCTCATCACTTCTCGCACCTGACATTACAACACATTTGGTGTTGCAAAAATACACTAACGGATCGGACGCACCAGTTATCATCACAAGGTTTGAATAAATCTACTGTTGCGCTTGGGAATTTGAGCTGAACATTAACTGGACTAAAACAGATGTACAACAGAGGATACGCGACCAAATACAGCGCCGTACGGAAGGGGATTCGGCATAATTTCACCTTTAGCATCTATTCGCCGACGTGGTTAGAGGGAGTCCCACACGAAGCTTCTCCGTATAGCCAAAGGATGATGCCACTTCTAGCTTGCCTGTGGGTCAAGAGATGAATTTACTGAATCTCCCACCCGAATTATATGCGTTTCCTTCGCATTGTAGAGCATGTCACAAACGACGAACATCAGAATTAAAGCCCACCTCGGGTAAGCTAGATAACCGCAACTCACAGTCGGTCGTATATACGAAGCATTACGCCAGTTAAGCCTTAATTGAAGAATTATAACACTGGCATAAGTGCATATCGTTAAGCGGATCTTTCTGGTCGATGTAATCGAATCGTATTTTAATTGTTGGCTATTGTTAGGCAGTCGTTAACTCGAGCCCAGTTTCCCAAAGGGGTAGGGTAAACATTCGGGTCAACAAAGGCTATACTTGCTTAATCAAATCAAACCCTATGATCACTCACCTATTCCTGCTAGCATTATTCTCCCTTGTGTAAAATCTGACCCCCATCGCAGTCATATGACTTTCGTCGGTTAAACGAACCTGCGAGCCGGGACGAATCCCACACCTTCGCTTCTATTCCAATACAAGCATCAATTCACTCGTATGCCTTAACTTGCCCAGTAAAGTTTTAGAACATTGAGACCACAGGCACACTCAGTAGAAAGATCACCCCACTTTTCCATGTCTGATGATCCCAGAATGGCATAGGAAACTCAGTGATAGCCCTGCCAAATTTTAAGGTTTGTAAAATCAAGCATTGTGAAACCTGAATTTCGATGAGAGCATCCGCTTTTGACTCGTTTACTACAGCCTTCCAGACGATCAGCATACAGACCATGCGGTGTTCCTCATCTCCCACAGCGATGCACCCCCGAGCTGTTTGTCTTCCACTTCTGACCAGCATATACTTGAGTCGCCACTCCGCTTGCAATTCCTCCTCCCCTGCTCTCCAATTCCTCTACTTCGAGCTTCATAGGAAGTAATTTGCTCTGCGAAGATTTACTGGACAACGCAAACGGAACAAATAAAAGGGAATCCGAGTACGAAAAGGGGAATATCCACAACGGTCCTCCCACTGCTCTAATACGACGTTCAAATTGAATGCCCGCTTTTCACCTGCAAAGGACATTGTAAACACACAGCATATAATATGCAGCTCCTATTCCCACTCGGCCACTAACCCCAGTACTATCCTTTGTGAGCTTTTCTAGGTGGTCAGAGGGCTTCTTTTCCTCTGCTAACACGTAAACCTCGTCTTCATGGCCAACTGGATAGTTGCTAGCATGAAGCTTCACATGGCAGGAAAGATAAGCATTGGGCGGCGGAGCCATAACTGCACGATAAGGGACATTATTCAACGAGTGGTAAAATTTCTGGCGCGTCGCTAGCGGAGGGATTGGCTTTCACACTTTTACCGAGGTATTTGCAGTAGCTCAGTACGCGGGGACGGTTATACATGCATACAGCCCGTTCTCCCTGTTTGCCCGTTGGCTGAATCTCAAGTACTGATTAAAAGCTGCTTGGCCCTTTGCAGAGCAATGAGAACGCGTCCTTCTCTGTCACCGCGTTCGGCCTTCTATAATCGACCCACCAAGACGATGGGGAGAACGAAGGTGAGTTTGGTGGGCTTATGACATCGTTCTCAATCATTTCGCCAGCTGCACGGTGCAAGTCTCTTTAAGGAGATAGTAAAATGCGTGTGGCTGGTTGTCGTACCAGCTCAGACTCGCCTTTATCGACCGTGTAGTTACCGAGGTCCGTCAGAACACTTGCGGAACAGTGCATGCAGTTGCCGCCTCTCATTATCCGTCCTATTAGATGGGAGCAAAGGTCAATTTGATTGGTACCAGCACTAGCCACGGCGTAGATAGAATTTCAGATGTATACATCCTTTTCAGAACAACGAACTGTTAAACCCCTTTTGCCTTCCGCAAAACCTATGACCGGTTGAGTTTGGTACAGGAAGATAGCAGCAAATGTCACAGTAAGAAAAACTCTGGGCATGGAACGAAATCTGCCACTCAGTGCCCCTTTCCATCTTCTTTCTGGGGAGAGCAGCTCTGTAGCCGACAAAGAGATCTATATTTTGCTACAAACCGTAATAGAACCCTTAAATTTAAAAGACTTAGCCGCTCCCGATCCTAGAAAGAAACCGAATGGGTGATGCTCTATTTCATCTAGCCTCGCATGAATACATGAAATCTGTTAGGACATAGGCATGGAAACAAAAAATGGAACTCACAGAGTTTCGAAACCCTTTGCTAGGAGTTGAGCCCTCTCTTGGACAACCAGGGTGAAAATGAGATTCTGCTCAAAGTTGAGGTTCCTTTCGTTCAACTGCCACTATGACAAATTAACTGAGCCTGTACATACCAACCGGAGTTGCACAGCTAAAGAGCGGACGAATGCCCTTTTGAATTAGCCAATTCGGCGAAGACAGCAGCACTAGAAAATAAGTTCTGCTTGCAAACTCCATCATCCTCTCCATGTTTTAGGAAGCAAAGGGAAAACTCGGGTTAGATATCGATTTTTTTACTCCGGAGCACGATTGGATAGCATTACGCAGCAGCCCACAACATCTCAGTCAGGAAATTCCATTGCTCATTATCTACCAGACCACAGCATACAAGAGACTGCCTTTAATTGCAAAGACCAAGGTTACATTCTGTGATTAGTAACCAACACTCAAAGTCCGTGTCCTCTTTGTAACAGATAAGATGCGCCGTTGCTGCCGTCAATATGGTACACCTTTCTAATCTCCGATCACCTAGCTAAAGGTTCCACAGGTTCTTTTTCTGCGAACATTTATTGGGCAATCAAAAAGAGAACTACAGCATCGACAATCGAACTGACCTCCCCACCTCTCGCCAACAGATAGCATTTTAAACACACATTGTGTGTTGCAGTGATTCTTCCATTGTTCATTTTTCAATCCAGATACAAAACTAGATCCGACTGAATTGCTTAAGATCTCACTAGTAAGTAGAATCGACTAACGACTAGATTGCACTGGAATTTGAATGTTTGCAGAGATGGCGCATAGGCGAACACTTCATCCATGATAATATTATGATGTAAGATGGAAACAGTCCAAATATTAGTCCGTCAATGACTCAATTACTTATATGTTACGATGGAGAGGCCGTTCAGAGGCTTAGATTTTGTGCTACTGTCTATTTGTTTGGCTCCTGAACCCTGCTAGGAACCTTAATCTGGTCTATATGGCCTGTGCATTTATTTCTCCGTTAAGCATTGTCGTAGCTATTTCTACAAGATTCTCCGATCGCAACTCCAAATCATGCTTTTCTGGTGTACGTTGGCAAACTATTAACAGCAGCTTGCGTTGTCCATAATTTAACTGTAAGTTGCAACTAATAAAACTGTAAAAGCGCTTTTGACATATGT